TCCCTGCTCCACCTCTTCCCGAGGGACCCCCAAGGTGTTCCCAGACCAGAGAGGATATATAATACCCAGAGTTGTGAAGTAACTAAGTACAAATACTTTGTTACTGTACTTAAGAAGAAATTTTGGGTATCTGTACTTTACTTGAGTAATTATTTTTCAGCCTACTTTTTACTTCTACTCCTTACATTTTGAAAAAAGGCAAGAAGTAGAAAGTCATTACTTTCATTTCATTTTTTCTTGTTTTCATTTCAGCTTCATATTGTAAAAATAAAAACTATCCATATAAATTGTGCCTCCTAGATAGAGTGAATTTAATTGTGGTTGAATGAGAAGTATAAATATATAAAACTCTGATACCGTATTAGTTTGCACACAAACAAATCCTTATTTCATGAATAATATTATTGCATTTGGCCGCAGTCCTCAGATTTTCATTTTGGGGAAAAGGTTTGGGCAGCCATGATGTATACTGTATAAACTGAAACAGCTAGACTAGTGCATCCTAAATTTAGCTTAATTAGTTATTTTAATACGACAATCATTTCTGCACTTGTTTGGAGGGAGGTCACCTCCTAATAAATGTCCTTACAGAAAATCTAACTGCTCATTTTAAATCAATATGTTTACTTTTAATATTTAAATACAAAAAAATATCAGTTACTTTAGGATTTTACTCAAGTAATATTCCTAAATGAGGCTTTAGCTTTTACCATAGTAATTTTTTTTGGTAAGATACTTGTGCTTTTACCACTTTGTGGTACTTTATACAACACTGATAATCCCTCCAATGGGCTCTGGGTCCCCGAGTCTGGCCATCATCTGTGAACAAGAGGCCCAGATTCTGGTAGGACCTCGCACATAAACTACAGGATGACCACACATCCCTGCCAAGACCCTTAAGACCAATAAACTAAAAATTACCAGTAAATTACTAAAAAAAAAAAAGTATTTGGTGACAAATTTAATACTAACTGAGTTCCAAAAGGCTACACTTTTGCCAATAATCTGCTCTGTTGTTCAGTTTATCATCTGCATAGGTATGTTTTTACTCTTGTCTGTGAGTGGGTGTTAGCAAAATATCTCACGAACCGGATAAATATCTATGATTGGCTGCCACAGCTCACTGA